GCCCCGTAACCCAAACACACCAACCCCGGTCCTCGACAGCCGCAACCCCTCGCCCGTAGCAGAAGACTACAACGGCGCCACGCCCGACCGGGACCAAGCCAAGTACAACGGGCCGTACACGTACAGGACGCACTACTGCGGCAAGCCGCGCATCCCGGCGGATCTGGCCAAAGTCCAGGACGGCGAGCATTACTTGTACACGCTCAAGGGCAAGCCGAAGATCCAGGGTACGAAGAAAAAGGGTCAGGGGTGGTGTGTGCGGGTGAGCTGCATTGGGGAGGCGGCGATTTTTGTTTGTAATGATGTGAATTTTCTCTCTCTTCTTCCCTTCTTTTTTGTTTTAAAGGGTGATTGATTAGGAGTTGGGAACTAACTGGATGACGATGAATGACAGAACGAGCACGAAATCGAACTCCAATCCTACGGCGCCATCGCCCAGGCCGCTTACTTCCTCTCGGGCGCTTGCTTCACGTGGATGGGCGACAGGAACCGCGTTGCTGGACAGGTCTTCTTTGGCGAGAAGTTTAACGTGGCTATTACCATGAATAAGTGCTAGGCTAGGCTGCTGCTTCGTTCGGAAAGGAAGGAATGGATGGATGGATGGATTGTCCTTATCGGAAAAGGGGGAAGAAGGGAAGAAGGAAACTAAATCTCGAAATGTTGCTTCTCTTTCCTTTCTTTCCCTTCCTTTCCTTTCCCCTGTTCAACATTTTCTTGTTTTGTTTTAACACACCAACACCACCAAAACCAACACCAACCCCAGCCTTTACGTTCGTTAACCGGCTGCTAGGATTGATGATGATGGTTTTGACTCTACCTTGGGTCTCTCTTTTATACACTCGTTCTGCTTTGTACTTATTTTATATTGAAATTCTGATATCTATCTGTATTACTAGACTACCAGTGCTCTTTTAGATTAACTAGGTGAATGATTTTAAAAAAATACTTTGATACCCCAACCCAAGTGTTGAACCTCAACTCCGTGCTCCTGCTACTTTCTGTCTATATCCTACATCCTCCCCTGCCTAACAATTATACGGAATCAAGCTATTGGCGACAAGAAGCCCCCAAAGAACTTTTGTGTCGACTGCTCAATGCCGTCATCCAATGCAGAGACCTTTGCTATGTCTGTTGTGATATCCTTGTTAGTGTATAGTCCAAAGACAGAAACCAAGCGAGCGTTATCTTTCTGGGTAAAGCAAAACTCACAATGATCCGGCCTGACAATGACCAACGCTCCCTTTGCTGGATCAACGCCATAGGCCTCATAAGCGTGGCCATGTCCGGAGTTGTAGCTCTCATCGTCCGCATACACCTTGAACAGATTCTTCTGCTGCCACTTTCCTGTTACAGGAGTGAAGAACTCTGGAATTCGATCCTGCTCAACCTTTGTCCTGTCACCGGAAATGACGAGCACGCGATCAATGATGCTATCTGGAGAGGCACCAGCGGGAGTGAAGCGTTTGGCGACGTTGTCGAGGGCTTGAGAGACCTAGAACGGTGTTAGTCATGAATATGGCCAAGTTAAGACTGCAAATGACCTACCTTTTCCAGTCTTGCCTTGCTCTCCTCCTGCAAAATATCTCCCGCAAACACAACCAAGTACCACTGTCCATTGGCGGGCAAACCCTTCACCAGCTGCATAGCCTTGGCATCACAGAACCTGACCACCTGCGCAGTCGGGAACCTCATACCAACCGTGACGTTCCTCACAAGCTCCTTATCCTTCTCCCCAATCTCCACCACGCCCGAAGCATCATATTGAATCGCCTGACCGGCCGTGTACCTCCCCGCCTGGACAAACTTCTCAGCAAACTGTTCCTGGCTGATACCGTGCTCCTCCCTATACTTGGAACTAAACAGCTTGGTGAACGCTCTATCAAACTCAATCAGCTCCGTGGCCGTCTTCTCCCTTTCAATGACATACGACTCCAGCAGCGGCTTGGGCTTGCCGAGTCCCTTGAGAATCATGCCCAGCTTCCAGCCAATGTTATGACCATCTTGCAAGCTGACGTTCATGCCCTGCCCGGCCTTGGGCGAGTGGGTGTGGCAGGCGTCGCCCGTGAGGAAAACGCGGTGGTTCTTGTGGAAGTAATCGGCTCTTCGCTGGCCGATCGCGTAGGCGGACCACCAGAAGGTGTCGGCAAACTCCATCTCGTAAGGGCGGAAGATGAGCTTGGCGTGGTTCTGCAGGTCTTCCAAAGTCACGTTCTTGGCGTTGGTGCCCGCGGGAAGCTCAATGTAGAAGCGCACCATGGCGTCGCCCTCACGCGGGATGATGAGCAGGTTGCCGACGGACGAGTTGATGGCGGCCTTTTTGCGGATGTCGGGGAAGTTGGTGAGCGGGTAGATGTCCATGACGCCCCAGACGGCGTCGGTGCTGTCGCCGACCATCTTGAACCCGAGAGACTTGCGGATGACGGAATGGGCGCCGTCGCAGCCGAGCACGTACTTGGCGTGATAGGTCTTGGAGACGCCGTCGGCTGTTGTGACGGCGTCGACGTGGACAGGATAAGAGTCAAGGTCGGTGATGTCGGCGGACTCATCGACTTGGACCCCCTTGACTTCGGTGCTGTACTGGATAGGCGGTTGGGAACCGAGCTGGCTCATCATCAACTCGTTGAGACGGGCTTGGTTAAGGATGACGTGTGGCTGGTGGCTGATCTCGGTTTCCTTGTCAGGGGCATAGCGTGTCCTCTTGATGTTGTCCTTGTTTCCTCCTTCGATGTTTTGCGCCCAAAACGCTAGTTCGAGCACATGATAGGCTTCCCTTAGCATGTCCTCGCCGATGCCAAAGCTGTCGAAGATCTCAACGGTACGGGTCTGGACACCATCGGCCTGACCAATCTTGAGAGGACCATCGCGGCGCTCAAGGATCTTGTAGTTGATGCCGAAGCGGGCGAGCCAGACGGCGGCGCAGAGACCGGCTGAGCCGGAGCCACAGATGAGGACGTCGACGTTTTCTTCTGATGATGACATGGTATGAGGGTATATGATATGAGAATTAGACTGAAAGAACTAGAACAAAGAAAGTATAATAGGATGAAGATGAGAAGGGTGGTGATGGTCTTGATGGTCCAGATCCAATATTTATCATGGCTGCAAACCGGGGGCGTCCATGGTGGACTCTTTATCGTGATTCTCCCCGTTCCCAGAAGCCCCGGTGACCCGGTGATGGTCGGTGTTGAAGGGCGTCATGGCGGCTCCGGCGATCCATGTGCCGCGAGGGGTTCGGGGAGCGTCCCGGGTGTGGTGGTTTGGTTGCCGTAGGGTTCAATAATTAAGTCTATTCCTCCCACGGTGTAGTCGGCGGTTAAGGGTGGGGATCTGCACCCGCGGCTGCGCTTCTTCAGGCTCCCCTCAGGGCCCTCACAGGCGGGTCACAGGCTCCTCTTCCCCGCATCGTCAGCGGCTTGGCGGGTCAAATCCTCGGGACTTGGGGGCAATCGTATTCCCGGCGCCAAACATCAACACTGCACACACTTGGACATTAACATTCACGATGCCTTCACATTAGGAACTTGGGCCGAATTATACAATTACAGGAACCATCTCGAGACACACAAAAACCAACTCACTCCCTCCTCTCCGGTCCGCGAAGATCCCCTCCCCTGCGCATCAACTCGTCCCTCTCCCCATCGCCCACCAACTCAGCTTCAACCACCTCCCTCCTCAACCCATCATCCACCTCCACGCCCGCACACTTCGCAATAAACTCACAAAGCATGCCCTCCGCCGTCGCCGCATTCCCCGTCAACGCATGACTATCCCCATCAAACAGCTCCAGCTGCCTACTTCCCTTGTCGCCATACATGGCATACAACCGTTCCGAACAAGCATAGCTTAACGTCCTATCCCCGGTGCCATGAAGCAACAACACGGGTCTCGGCGGCAACTTGCGAATCCCCTCCGTCTCCGCCGTCTGGCTGGCTACCGTCGCGCACCCGACAACGCGCTGATCAGCGCCTCCCACCGTAAACACGGGCGCGCCCCCGAAGGACCACCCGATTAGCACGAACCGGTCGAGACCGTATAAATCCTGCAGGTACTTCATGCCGGCGTACACGTCGGCGACGCAGTACTTGCTGCGGGCGGGGTAGCGGTAGTCGAGTCTGAGAGTTGGGATGCCCGAGGATAAGGTGGCTAGCTTGCAGGCCAGGGAGAGGTAGATGGACGACGGGCCGGTGACGCCGCCGCCGGCTCCGGAGAGAAGGATGGCGGCTGTGCGGTGGTGTTCTTGGGAAGCGGCGGCCGAGGTGAAGTTGGGTGGCATGTGCAAGAACCCGGGAACGAAACCGTCGGGACCGTCTTCTACGTCGATGGTTACCGACTCGACGGTAGCTTCTTGGTGGGTGACGGAGGTGAGACGGTCGAGATGCGGTGGCTTCTTGACCGAGGTGTACTCGTTGATGGAGTGCGGCTTGCCTTGGGGCTGCGCTTGGGAAGTCGCTGAGAGCGAGGTGCCGGGTGTTCTGCTCGCCATGTTGGATACGATTCGTCTGATGATGCTCGCTGAGAGGCGGAGGCTGCGGGAGAGCATTTACTGTGGTGTCGAGAGACGGGTAAGTGATTTCTTCGTGTGCTTTGATGTTCTGAAGATTGAACGGTAAAGTATCGTGACTTCCCATGTCTTCGCTGTCCGTTAGAGAACCCCCTTCTATGATGTCAGCTTGACGCCAAGGTGTTCGTCCAACCGTCATGGACTCCAAATCGTCAAGGACGAATAGCATATTATACTCACGGCCCCACTATTCCCTCGATGATATCCCAGCATTGAACAACAACAGATGAACGCTACACCACTCGATCAGACGTGGAAGATATGTTCCTGTTGCCAAACGTTTGATGGACCGCCAAACGAAAGTGTCACCCGAAAGTGCTGATACTTCTCATAACCATGTTGAGACCTCGAATGGCAGTTTATTCCCACCTTCTGTTCTTCTAGTGATACCTCGTATCGATATGTGCAAGTCCTTTGTTCATAAACCAGGCAAGTAATCCTGAACGTCGTTCCCTTACCACCAGACTCCATTTTTGACTATCTGGACCCCTCGCCCACCTCCTCTTCTTCCATTACAATTCCGACTGCAAAGCCATCTTCTCCCTCATCCACCCTCTTTCAACCCCATTGCCGTTGCCGTTGCCATTGACATTTCCATTCCCCAACACCTTTCTCGACCCCATCCCAATCCCCTTCATCCCTTCCTTCCCCTGCCTCGTCAAATCAACCCCAAACACCACCCCAACAACCCAAGCATAAACCCACACCAACAAACTGACGGGCCCAAAGATCATCATCGGCAACAAACTCAAGCAAAAATGTTCCCAAAACCATCTCCTCCGTTTAATCATAGTCCACAGCTCCGTCTCCATCACCTCCTCCGCTCCATGTCCACCTTCTGTCCCATCCCACCTCCAAGGCCCTTTCGTCCTAAACTTGACATTATAATTCGCTCCTAACGCCCAAACAATCGGCAGCCTCCACCCCTTTATATCACCCCCTTTCCATACCCTCTCCCACAGTCCTCTCTTCAAGACTTCAAAAAAGCCCATAGCAGAATCCATATCCAGCCCTAGTTGGTAAACATAGCTCTCATGGTCAATCCCGTACTTGACTCGACTATCAGCCGGATGATGCAACCGGTAATGCTTCTCATCCTTCTGTTCCAATGCCCTCGGAATCTGATGAGGAGCAACAAGCTGTAAAATCCACAGCTGAGCCTGCATCTCCGCCAACGGCGGGATAGCTCCCAGACTAGGTCTCAAAAAGCCAATGTACCCAACCGAAGGATCGTTCCTGTTCCAAATACCGCGGACGTCTCGTTCCTTGTGTTCAACAGCATACTTGCGGGCCGCCTTACCGTGCTTTTCTGTCACCGAGGAGTTGTGCTCAGTGAAAAACGGATATTCCTGGTTATACCCCGTGCAGAAAATGACTATGTCGGGCTTGACGGTCTGCTGCCGCATGCGCTCCCATTCCGGCCGGTGGTTATTTTGGAAGGTGACGATCCCCGAGGAAGAAATGGATTGCGGCCAGGGGGCTAGATCGATGTAGCGACCACCTGTGTCTTTGAGGGTTGAGCCGATGAGGGCGGAACGCACCCGGGAGAGGAGCGAAGGGGGCGTGGTGGTGGGTTGGAGGTGTTTGTAGGGGTAGGATATGTAGGGGGCTGCGTTGGATGATTTGTTGAAGAAGACTGTTGTTGTGTTAGCAATACGATGGTGGTGAGCAAAGGACAAAAGAGGGACATACTTCGGCTAACATGATTCTTGTGCGAATCCGGTTCTCCAACTACTTGATCCAATCCCTCCGGGGTGCCCGTGTTAAGCCACAGGAACGTCCGTACATAAATGTTGTAAAACGTCCAGAGCGCCGTGTGGTTCCGAAGCAAGGGATGGACGTAAGCTGTGTCGAACAAGCTTGCGCGCGCATTGTCCAATGGTACGGTTAGTTCACCGCTGGACTTGCGACCCAAAATGGGGAAAAGGACAGGGCTGAGGTTTCTCTGTTTTGGGTTGTTTGCTCCTTGGTCAGCTTTCTTTGTTCAATGGTATGCAAAGTGGCGCTGAATAGCCATTGTTTGTTACTCAGGGGCACTACTAAACTAGGTAGACTAACCTTGGGCGCAAAGTGGAAACCACTTCGGTGACACATGACGACTCGCTTGGTTTGTGAAGTGACTGCCATCCAGGAGAGATCCGAACCCGTCTCACCACTGCCGAGAATCATCACTGTCTTGTCGATGCCGAACTGCTTCTTTTCCTTGAACTGAGAGGAGTGCATCTTGACGGGAACGTGTTCGATACCCGGGATGTCAGGGATGTGAGGAGTGACGTGAAGGCCGGAGCAGACGGCGATGGCATCACATTCCCACTCCGACGTCTCTCCTGTTGTCTTGGAGGTATAAGTGACGACATGTTTCCCCTTGAGTGTCCTTGTCACGGAGTCGACTTGTGTGTCGAGATGGATGTGTGGCCACAGGTTGAAATGTGCGCAGTACTCGTTGAGATATTGGACATATCGCCTGGCGGACATGAAGTCTCCATCGGTCTTTGAGCATCGGAAGTCGGAAAAGGTGGTGAGTTGAGTTGATGAGACCAGCTGAGGAAAGAATGGTCAGTGTCTGTCTGGGTCGCCATATCGGGGAAGGAAGGAGCGGAAATACCTCAGCATCTTCATAGGTCCTGGTGTAAAAGGTTCCGCCCACGGCGTCATCGCCTTCGAAGAGGTGAGCCTCGATGGGTTCACCTCCGAGAAACTGATGGGCGGTAAGGAGATACTTGAGAGTAACAAGTCCGGAAGGACCGCCTCCGATGACAGCGACTCTCATGATGACGTCGAGGGTAGTTGCCGGTATGAAAATCGGAAAGAGGTGCAGGCATCAATCAGGATGTCTGTAGAAAAGAGCAAGGGAGGATGTCGTGCTCTATGGCGAGATATTATTTGTCTTGAAAAATCCGGAGAATACACCATCCCTCGAGGTGAGGAACCATGCCCCTTTATGTGCCAACCCATATCCCCAACTCCATCGTCCTTTCTGAGCAGGAAGATAGCCACTTCTGCCTAGGTTGGGAGGAAATCTCCACCTCCTCAATCCTTCATCGATGAGAACCCTGCTACCAACTGTGCCATGTCGATGTCTCTCTCCACAGCCTAGAACCCTGACGGCCAAGAGTCCCAGGATAGAATCTAGTTCAATCCTCTATCAATATTATTAGCCTTTCTAAATGGTTTCCAAAACCAACAAACCACAAGACATGAGATGGCCAGACCGCTAATACGAAAACTTCCACATCCTTCCTTCCTCTATCCTATCCGCTCATCGTGTTGGTCCCGACCGTCTGGATCTGACCCAGAATTAGTGACTTACCCCCAAGCAAACAAAGGCAGCGCATCCAATGCCTAGTTGCGCCACTTGTCGTAACCTACATCTCGAGTGTCGAAGCCGCGTCTCTGTTCCTATCACCCACTGATCCGATCTTGGAGGCTCAGTATTAGTTCTCTCGGACTAGAGTGTCAGGAGTGTCACAAACGCCTATCCCCGCGGGGCGAACGCAGGGACGGAGTCAACCATACCACTAGATAGGATGACCATGATGAATGGAATAAACACGATACGCTAAAACCCCCCCTATCTTCGTCCTTCGATATCACCGCGAACGGCGATCCATCAGCCATCTCCGTTCATCTGACCTGTAGCTTGCCGGTCCCACGGTGTGTAGACAGGTATCTCTGCACACCGTGAGAAAGCAAGCTAGACGCGAGCCGGATGCAAGCAAGTGCAGTGATCGTGCAGTGGAGGTGTAATGGTAAGCGCCTCCCCCTTTGCCATTCGTAGCCACTGGGCTCACTGGTTCCATGGGGAACAAACAGGGGTTCAGATCCAGGGGAAAAGAAAATAGGAAAAATGTAAATGACGGTGCGGCTGAAAAGCTTTTTGTGACCTTTCGCGTTTGTTTGAACTAAGAGTTGAATGAGTGGTCTTCCATCATCCCCGGTGACTGAGTGCAACTCTGCGTCTCTGCAAGATCCTGCCCTACTCGGAATCCATCCTGGGTCATAGCCTTACAGCTAGATCTCATGACCACATCCACGACCCCAATCTCTGCCGCACTCTGCAGCGAGGCGATCAGGCGGAGGAAGGCAACTGGAACGAACATGACGGGAAGAGGCATGATCTATGATCTTTTGTTGTTTTGGGTCCCCATGCCAGCCGGACCCTGTAAGTTGATCACAGCATAACCCCGATCTCGCACTGCCCTGCCCTGCCTTTGCCCTGCCCGAGCCCTTGGTCGCCGGCAAGACGCATCGTATTGGATTGCACAGCATGGAAAATCGAAAAATAAAATAAAAAAAATTGCAATCGCATCTTGCTTCTTGATTCTTGGTTCGGTTGTTGAATTCGGCTTGGGGACAGATACTAGGAAAACTGCCTGGGACTGGGCTTAGCGGTGTCCATCTCATCGTTCATCCATCGGATGATTGACTTATCTGACTTGACTGTGGTATCGGTTGGTGACAAGAAGATGCTGCTGCTGAATCCTCAGTTTTGCATTGGTTTCCGTTCGCGCACCGTGATTTAGTCCAGTGTCAGGTGGCCCTGGTGTGTGGGTGTTCCTGATGCGCATTATCACCAGTCCAGCCCAGCAGTTCCTCACCTCCCTCACCTTCCTTCCTGAGCATTGGCGGCCGCCAGGTCCCTCACCTTCATCGTTCTCCTATCCTCAAAAGGCAAAAAATTGTCAAGATATCGTCAAACCTAGCCTAGTTCAACTCGCTATTTACCGCGCCGTATGCCGAGCCTTGCAAGGAAAGTCTGTTGACCACCAAAAGCACAGTGAAAGTTCGCTGACAGGTTGGTCAGATATCTCGCGTCAAACAGTCCCAAATGCACACTTATTTTGCACTCAGAGGGCCACCATAAGCCACTGGAGGAATTACTAGCAAGTCTCGCCAGTCATATCGCTGATCACATAGTTATTAGTAGGGCGCACAGGAACATCGCTCTCACCGTAAAACTCCACATCTTTCGAGGCTTGAGGCTTTGAGGCTTTGGAGTTAGTGATAGTCTTGGCCCCCATGCCCATGACCCACTGACCCAGGTCCACTACCCTAGGTAGGGTCTCATTCTGAGCCACGAAGCCGCCGAGCCGCAATTGGATGTCTCGAGCCTCCCTCTTGTCCAAAGTAAATTTTCGTCTAGGTCAAGGACTAGAAACATGTGTTGGTGAAAAATTGGGAAAGTGTTGGTGAAGAGTTGGTCAACTGGGTCCAAGTGATAGGATTCCCATCTTCAACACCGTCATCGGGGACTCACCGTCGCATTCCGGCTTGACTAGAGTCCACAAGGGCTCGTTAGAGCTCACTAGAGCCTCAAAAGGTGTCATCCTGCGATAGTTAGCCATACCCACCATTTAGTTCTTAGTTCTTTGTGATCACAACGCTCCACCCTCGCATCAGACTCACGGCCTAAAAGTCTTAGCAGCCACCACAGCAGCTCGAGCAGTTGGTGATATCAATCCTTTTTCACCTTCCTCACACAGCCAATCACGTACCGCTATTTCCCCAGTCTCGGCCCGGTGAACTGGTTGGTGTTCATCAGATCTTTTCTTCAAGCCAAAGATCTCCAGCTGTCTTTCATTGACTGGAGAAAGAAAAGCAAAGAAGAGCTGAGATGACTGAGAAACTGAGATGGTGGCTTGATCGGTTTTCGTGGACGCGCGTGAACAGATGCCGGTTCCCTTCGACACCTGCAGTTTGCAGATTTCAGGTTGGTAACTACTTGTAGGTATTTCAGCGACTGCGACCGCTTGGACCATATCGGTTATTGAGGATGTGGACTTGGCACCTTTGACCGCTAGCTATGCCGTCTTGCCAGAGCGCACGGACGATTTTATGAGTATTTTGCAATGCAAATACCCGTCTTAGCTTCCAAAGCTACAGCTGTGCTCCAGCGTCGTACTGCATCTGCACCGCCGCTCGCAGAATCACAGGGCCTGCCTTGTCGACATCGTTTCGCCTGAACACCAATTCACCATCACCAACACAACAAATCAATTGGACAAGTTTCAGTCTCCACGCACCGGGCGTTTTCCAACCTTCCTAGCACCAATCACATTTTCTTTGTTTTGCTTGTTCACCTTCCCCAAGCTCCGATCTTACGTGCGAAAAAAAAACAAAAAACTACATGACTCGGACTCTTTCCCCTTCCTTCTCTCAGTTGAAGATATGTGCTTTCCCATGCTCCCTTGTTCAAATATCTCCGACGCGATGGCAGGGCAGGCATCCCGGCATCCGCTCCCGGTCTTGGGTGTTGTCGCCGTCTTCCGATGTTACTTTGACGACAGGCAACGGCAAGTCTCATGTTACAAAGGCCGTGATCGATCCGCTTCCTACGCCTCAACAAAACCAAATCGATCCGGGCTCAAAAAAGCAACGTTTTGCCGTTCTTGGGTCATGCATTGTTGTCTTCACTTTTCAGGCACGACGAAGGAAAGACTGATCGGTTTTCCGCTATACCATAGACCTTCTACCTGAAGGTACTTGAAAGGAATAAACCCAATGATGTCCACCAAAGGTTGTTTCTCCCTGCTAACACGAGCCATGTCTCACCCAACTTTGTTTACTTTACCCCTGAACGAGATCGGTCTTCCGCCTGGTACATCCGAGATCATGACCCAACACAAATCACCCATTGTCGTTTCTTGCTCAAGCTGCACAACTCAAAGCGGAAGTGCAAAGCCTTGTCGACCAGCTCAGACCAGTGACATTCTGTCAGGGTCCTCACCCTACCTTGGTCGAATCACTATCATGGCCATCAGAACCGGTCGGCCCGGTTTTGTTTCCTTCTGAATACTTGACAAGATTTAGCCCAACACTCGCGGGAACATCCATCTATTGAGCATCCTGCATCACTTTCCTGCCCTTGGCGGCCTGGGCATGCCTTACATCGCTGATGGTAGATTCATCCGTGTCGGTATCATCCAAAGTCAGAGACGCAAAACCGCGGAAATACTGGAGCCCCTGGTCCAAAGTGCCATGCGCCTTTCGCAATAGATCAACTCGAATGTAGCTTATGATTTTCTGGTCGGTCACGCATACGCGCCTTCTTCTCCTCCTGTTCAAGCTTGCTCCTCAGATCGTGAATCCGATTGGCATCGTGCGTCACATGACCCTGGAGGTATTCAACCCTTCGGCGCAGAGAGTCGAACTCTTTCTGGCGTTCTCGCTCACCCTCATCCGGAATGGCCTTGAGCTCCCGCACCAAGCGCGTCATGGTTTGAGCGAGTTGAGTCATAGTTCCGTGACTCTCCCAAAGAATTGCATCATGAGGTCCATGGGGTCGGTGGGTCACAACTCTGTGCATCTCTTTTTGCGCCTCGACAAATCTCGCCTGCGTGCCGAGATACTGCTGCTTGACACTCAAATCGTACTCCCTGCGACGGGTAGGATCAATCAGGAGCTCGTATGCGTTGGCGATCTGACAGATATCATACATTAGAAAAGTGTTGCCAATGACAAAAGCAAGCCGTACCATATCTTCTGAATGGATCTCGATGCCTCCGGGCTGTTGCCACCCATCTCACGATGTGCGTTCACCAGTCGATCGTAGGCTTCTTTGATGGTCTTCTCTTCCGCACACGGGCTGACCCCGAGCGTTGAGTAGCAGTCGAACATTTTGATCTGTTCGTGGGACTTGGTTCGAATGGCAAAAATGTCTGTGGTGGAATCTGCTGTGCGTGTCGCTCGCTGATCAACGGCAACAGTGTAACAAAAAGAAAATGACAGGATACCTTGCTATCCAAAGAACAAGGACACAGGTGTCAGTGGACGGAAATATGGATGTCATCACTTGGAGTGCCCAAAGGAGGAGGGAGGTTTGGGGCTGGGCTGAATGATAAAAGTTGTTGAAGAGGGGAGAAAAGGAAATCCTCGGGAAACGGTTGGTCTCATGTGTTTTCTTTTGACCTCCATTCTGGTGTCGTGCCTTCCATACGCTATGCATGTTCCAAGCTCTGTTATTTCTGGCTTCCATCAGTCAAAGGAGGGAAAGAGGCCTTCGAACTGGTAAGAAAACTATCAACCAAACACGGACAGTCCATCCAATACGGCTCTCACCTTTGCTAACCTGGAAGGTAGGAAAGACCGGTACAAAACAATAGTAGCGATTGGCCTGAGTCCCCCCATCACGACTATTGTTCTTATCACTCAACACGATGTGACAAGAACATCGACGTAAGATTTGTGATTGCCACGCAGGAACTTCCAATTCTTACTTCCAATCTTCTCTGCTCAATCCTCCTACCGTCTTGCTTCGTGGAAAGCTCACTTGCCCACGCATCAGGCGACACCTCCGATTGCACCCTTACATGGAAAGCAAGCCCGCTTCAGTTAAGTTCTCTGAGCTTGCACTATGCTGGACGAGACAATTATACCGATCTGTTCTCTTCATTTCGTTCGAGAGGCGTAACCCATCTCCGACGTCATACTTGTGACAGTCAAGACCGATCAGGAACGAATGATCACACACATGCGAACATGATAGGGAACGCCTACGTTCCATCACCCGCCCTGCGGCAAACCTATGGTATTGTTACATGTTGAACGGCAGGTGATAGAATACCCAAAGGCCACAACGTTAACGTGCTCGGATCTCCGGACATGATCAATCTATAATCATAACAGCCAGATGGGTAAGTACGTCGGTAGGCACACAAGTGAACCGGACAAATTTGCAAATAGACATTAACGTATATAAGGTACCTACAACTAAAGAAACCCCTCGCCTCACCCCAGATCCACGTATCTACTTGTAGACACGCAGAAATCGATGGGCCCACCCGATCCGGACCCGAAAATCATCAACCTCCCTCCACTTCTTCCAAGATCCCAAAGTCTAGTTTACCCACCTCTCACTCGCCTCTTTCCACCTCCGAGTATCCACTAATAACTCAAAACCACCGCCCTCCCCAAATACTTCCTTACCCCCTCATCACCACCACCAACCGCCAGCCTCTCAAAGATCCACTTGCCCACATCCTCTCTCGAAATCGTATACCCCACGACCTTCTCCCCCTCCAACTGATTCTTCCTCAAATCCTCCGTCGCGACCCTGACCTTCTCCAGCCCGATCTCCGGCTTATTCGTCAACATGCTCGGCCTGATGACCGTCCATTTCCCATCCAACAACTTGTCACTGTTATCGATAAGAACACGCTCCATGGCCCGCTTGTCCTTGATGGCTGCCTTCAGCAGCAGGGCGTGCACGGGGTAGAGTGCCAGCGGGTATTCTCTGTGAAGCGTGGAGGCGCCGGCGGCGGAGATGGCTATTATGTATGGCTTTTCCTGTCCCGAACTTGATCCTGGGGTAGACTGGACCTTCCCCAAAGCCTCCATCAACGCCTTGGCGCCCTTCTCGCACACGCTCGGGTCGTCGACGGTCAGATTCTTCATGTCGGGCTTGGCGCCGATGCCGGTGACGATTATGTCGACTAGCGAGGTTGGGTTGGAGGGATGGGTGAGGACAGGGATGATGTCTGAGGTTGAGTGGGCGTTGCCTTCGATTATCCGCAAAGAAGGGGAGGCGAGCTCGGTGGGTGAGAGAAGGCCTTGGAGGCGGGTGGGAAAACGGGCCAGGACGGTGATGGTTAGGCTTGCTCTGGATGAGGCGGCGAGGCAGCGTTTCAGGGTGGAGAGGGCGATGCCGCCTGTGGCAGAGATGAAGAGGATTGATTTGGTTGGGGCCGTTGTGGTGGACATGGTGGACTGGTGGTCGAGAAATTTGAACTGTCGGAGTTGAGGAGGTTGACTTGAGTTGAGGTTGGGTTGAGATGATTTCTGGATGTTGCGAGGAGAAAGAAGAGATGATACAAAGCTGGATAAAGAACAGAAGCGTCTTCAACTTCACAACGAGGTCATCTGTGGTTTATATCCAAACCCTCAACGCACCATTTATCACAGTGACTTCAACATCAACAGCGGAACGGAGCAACAACCATCACCACATCTCCATCAAGGCATACCAAGCCACCACCAACACCCCCCTCCCGGCCCTATTCAATGTCTGTCCAGCCCAATCCAGCCCCAATCACATATGCCAAAAGAGAACTTTAAACCAGTTAAACTCGGAAGAGCCATCCCCATTCCCAAGGCATCTCTGTGGCCCAGCAAGCAGCAACTGATAACAAAGAACTGCAGTGCATGCATGCAAAGGTCTCGCAGTAGATGTAAAAAGGTCCTGGAGTTCTCCCGATAGTTCTTCACCGGGCGTTCTGGTGGCGCTTTTTGTCGAGTGCTGATTGCTCAGTTGCAAGCCGCAGAGTCGTGGCCGTCGAGAGATTGGAAAGGGACGGAGGAAGAAAAAAGCCGAGTACTTGATGCCAAGAACGCCCTGTTAGTGCTTGCTGCTTCTGAGCACGCAGAATGGGAGCGTTTGGAGGGCCTAAAGCTTAACGGGCTGGGCAACGGTTGGTGGTCTTGGATGGTACCTACCGGGCGCCGCTGCCCTTCTTGGAATTCAGCTCAGGCAGGTAGGCACGGAGGGATGGAAAATGGATGTGACTGGATGCTTGGGACGCTTTTGGTGGACGGAAGGTGCTGTCAGTTGGCTCGTGGTGGAAGCGAGCGAAGGTGGGGCAGTGAGAGTTCGGATGGTTTCTTATCAATGGGCAGGTTCTTATCACTTACACGAAGGCTTTTGCTGCCTGTTGCCTGCGCTGGTGACGGGAGTGATGACTTAGAGGTAGCCAGTCATTCCGTCAGTTCAAAGCTGCCTGCCAGAGGTAAGCATAGTGCATTGGTTCCTCAGTGGTTCAAGTCAAGTACCTTCCATAACTCGAGCTAACATTGAAGATATCAACATTGGAATGAGAAGAGTTCTGGTTCCTTCCTTCCTTCCCAGAACCAGATTCCAAATCTCACCACAATATTCGCCTTTATTTACACGTGTGGACCCTGGGAGGGCCTAATCACCACCATGAAGTTCGGTACTGTAATCGAAGACTTCTAGAATGATGAGTCAGACGGTCAATCTTGGCCTTTCTTGCCTCTGTTCGCTACCTAACAACAAATGACACCTGAACCTCAAACCAAGCTTATCTCCGGATATTACGCATGGTAGGTAAGGTCGTGGTTAATTCCTAATTCGGAACGATGCTGACAACCGTTCTGACTTGACAGCTGATAGGTGAGATAGAGCTGACGACGACGGGCTTACCAAATTTACGGCTCATTACGTTGTCAGCTGAGCTCTTTTCCGTCAGTTTCCTTTCTGAAATTCTTCCATGTTCTTTTATTAAAGTCATGTAAGCTCATGCTTTCCTTGCCCCGAAGCCCTGAGTCAGGTTGTCCGTCCTTGGTAGGTAGGTACGTTTGCGTTCAGTTTCCAGCTTCCTGTTGGCATACTCAGAACATGGCAGTTCGCATTTACATAGTTTGCGTATCTTCCCAAGGTGGGACTTTTCACGTCAGGACCAATGTTATTTGACTACCGAGACGTATGTATTTCTTGTAGTAGACGGGAGGCTCGGTTGACAACTTGACAGCATCCCGTCCCGCTTCAAATCGGTCCCTTGCAGCGACCTTTTAAAGCTTCTGCAGTTTGCTTGGCTTGGCTACCGAAATGCCGTTTGTATCGTCTCATCGTTCGTTATTCTTTCGTATTTTTCCCCCAACGAACCCTTCACGGTCCGTCTACGGTAGCAATATGCGGTTCCGATTGTCCTCTACCCAGTTGAGCTTTCAGAGGCGATGGGATTCGTGGTTTTAAAGAGGTTCAAAGTAAACGATAACCCACTGCAAGATTGCTTTCATTGCTTGGGTTTTTTTTTTTTCATGTCCATATCCCGGGGCAAACAGCAGGGATTACTTTACTCGTTGTACCCCGTTGTACTTCACTTGAGAGATTTTGACAGCTCGAACAGCTTGACGACGTTGTCACATATCGGCAATTTTCTTTTTGTTCATTCGTTTCAATGGCCATCTGCTCCTTCACTTGTTTCCCTCCCTTCGGTTCGGCAATTCCGCCATGCAAGTGCACGTACATGTGGTGTTGTCAATATTTGTTGTTCGTCGTCTGCCGGGTACGAACATCTCGTGGCTTCCGTTCCCGTTTGAATTGGATATTGAGTGTGAGACCTACCCGAACCAAGGTACTCGGACCTCACTCACCAAGTCAACTTGACAGGTACCGAGGTGTTTCCACAGCTTCGAGAACGTTGGAGTCCATGTCCCGAGACATGTCAGAGTGTGACGACAATCTGTCGGTCACAAAGAGAAGCAAATTCATTTTCTCTTACCTACTCATCGCTTGCTCGCTTGTTTTTGCTAGCAACTGCTTCCGGAACATCTCGTCTCTTCTAGAAAATCATGCTTCTTCTAGGTTGTCTCGTCTCGTCTCGTCTCGTTTCGTTTCGTTTCGTTTCGTTTCCCATGTCCTGTCGCTTCTGGAACATCGATGTTTCGTTTCGTTTCCCATGTCCTGTCGCTTCTGGAACATCGATGTTTCGTTTCGGGCTTTCCATGTCTCGTTTCGTCTGCCCATGTCTTCGTCTCCCATTTCTTCGTTTCCCATGTCCGTTCAGTTTCATGTTCGAGTCTCGGGAATGTTGTTGCTCCACTTTTCCAGAACCACATCCCGAAAACGGAAATTAACAAACAACAGGGGGACCCAGTCCAGCCATACATAACAGTCTCGACCCGGTTCAGGGAAACAGCCGAGACAATTTGTTTTTCGTTTCGTTGCGTCTGTCCGTTCGTTCGTTCGTTCGACTTCTTCAACGTTTCCTAGCCTTTTTCTAGCTTTCCATTTCTAGCGATGTTAGCGATGCTTTAGCACCGGGGTTTTGATCCGGGCCCTTGTCTCGGGCTCCCCCTTGTCCGGCCCTTACCTTGTCTCCGGCCCTTGCCTTGTCTGGAACGTCTTTACCTTGTCTGGTCTTTACCTTGTCTGGAACGTCAGAAACAGTCCGATTTGCTTATGACATCAGCGGAGATGGGTATTGGGGCTTGGTGTTTCGGACATGTTATGGCTATCGACACTCTTGGCAAATGGGGACTGCCGTACCTTGACCTTGAATGCCGGGATGTTATGTTATTTGATGGGGGTTAGTGTGTGAGATGGGCCTTTTGTTGACGTCAAACGCATGTTGGTCTTGGACCGCTTTGTTAGGGCGAGATTTGCGGAGATCACGAGGATGAATGGGTTTGGTGTTGATGATGACTGTGGAACGTCGTGAGGCGAGAAACTTGGCTGGTTCTAGAATTTGGATCACGGTTCCAGAAGGGTCGTCATGTTGTTCTCTGGCAAGTGCCTTCGCGTTGACTTCATGTCAGATCACAGCAGCTGAAAGTGTTCCGTATGAACGAAGTAATGTATCCAAGCTTGAGTCGGGTATTAGATTACCACTAATAAGGTGCTGTTGCTGCTGCTTCTATACTAGGTATACAAGAAGAAGAAGAAGAAGAAGAAGAAGAAGAAGAACAAGATGATGATGATGATGATGATGAAAAAGCGGGATTCCGCACCGAGGAAAACAAAAAGGTGGTTTTTGAAGGAAGTACAGTAGTGTAGGCAAGAAGCTCGTGGTTTTTTTTTCAAAGCCATTTTTGGACATTCATTCATTGCTGGTTCATTTGTCCCATGTAATATTTCGCATCGCGCGTTTCTCTTCTTTTTGTGCTTGCGCATGTGTGCGTGAGAGCGTGTTGTGTGCGTTCTAGGTGATGAGACGGTGGTGATGGTGGTGGTGATGGTGTGCTTTTGAGAGACGGGCGATGATACTGGAAAACAGAAAAACAAAAACAGAAACAGAATCCGAGAAATAACCTTTCTAATCCCAGGGGTATCCTTTTTCTTTTTGTGGCAAACAAGACGTGTGAAGAAAAGAAAAGGACTTTTGGTGTGCGTGTGAGAGAGAGAGAGGGAGAGAGAGAGAAAATGTGGGTGGTGAAAAATGACATGGTGTGGAAGAGAAACAGAGCGACTGGAATCATCACAATGGTGGCGTGACTCCGTACTGGTACACAGGCGCAATGGTGTTTGGCCTGGGGAGCTTGAAATGAGGGAGATTCAGACAGTAAAGTGTCTTGTGCTGGCTCCTCACCATCTCTCGGAACCCGTTGAGATCCAGCTGGCTCACTGGCGGATAGATCCGCGGTCGTGGTGGCTCATGGACTAACTCTCCTTTGCAATTGTCGTTCTCTTCCTGCTCGTCGGCCAGGAAATCCAAGATATCTCCACGAAGCTTCTCGCCACGAGCCAAGTTCTTGTTGGAAAATGGTGATGGCGTTGGCGTGCTCAAGGGAGCGGGCAGATGGTGGTAAATGGACCCTAACCCGCTAGCCCACATGGAGCGGACATGTGAGTCGTCCGTTACCCGATGGAAATGCGGGTTCCTGGTCCGAATCTGCATGATGGTGACCGGTTGCAGATTTGGGACCCGGCCCGCGTTATAGCCGAGTCGGTCGGCCTGGGCAGTCTGAGGTGCCAATTGGTCGAGCAGCTCCACAAAATGGAATGGTTCGATGGCGTAGCCGTTGGCGAGCCTCAAGTTCAAAGCCAGGTCCATGGTCATGGCGTGCTCGCCGGCGTTGCCCGTTACGATGATCTCGCTGTCACGGGCAGCGGCCAAACTTCCAGTCGGGTCGGCGTCAGCCATGGCTGACAACAGCTTGTTCAGCCAGCGGTTGACCACCTGCGAACTCCTCCCCTCGCACGTGTAGTCGATTTCCCCGTTCCTGACCTTGGGCTTAGATGCCCACCGGAGGCGCACCATGGTCTCGGTGCCCGGGTTGGGATTGAGAGCAAAGCCGGCGGAAAAGGCCCTGCAGTACTCGTTGACCGCTCCGGGGACGGTGATGTCGGCGTCGACAAAGGCGACATAGCGGCGCTGAGGGCACAGAGCAGCAACCAGGGCGATGCCAAGCATCATGCCCTCCCCCTTTCCATTTCGGATCCGCTTGTGGCTCCCGCCCACGTGCGTGACCAGGTCGTCCAGGCCATACATGTTGAAGGCCGCTGCTGCCGCGGCATCGCTCTGGTGGATCGCCAAGGCGGGCCTAGCTGTGCGGCAGAACCTTCGGAGCATCATGACCTCCTTTTTGTACGCCCGTGGCTCGCTGTTGGACACCAGCACGATCAGACACCCCCGGGGAATGCCCGAGAGAACGCCCTCGATCGTGTTTGGGTCCTCGCCTTTGCACGGCACAATGACGGCCATCTGGCCCAGAATGCTTTCCAGTTGTGCCTGGGGAATGGTCACCTCTGGCGGGACGCCGTCCAGCACGCTCTCGTCGTCCTCCGGATCCGTGTCGCTCAGGTCCCTCATCTCGTCTTCCTTGTCCAAAAACAGGTCATCGTAGTCTGAGTCGTCCAGCGAGGACTCATCTCCTTGCTCAGAGCCTTGGGGTGTGTAAGCAGACCCGAGCGTCTCCAGCGGTATCCCAGAACCGGCGTCTAGCTCCAACACCTCGATCAGGTGCATGATGCTGAGGCCGCCCATCTGCAGGCCTTTCCGTGGTTCGGTGAGACGCATGATTGCTCTCGAATTGTGAGAATGTGGTGATTAGAAATAAGAATTAATGAATATAAGTAAGAGTTTTGACGTTTTAAAACTCGGGGGATATGGCTTGTACCGTGTGCAGACTGGAGATGGTGATGATTGGTGGTGGTTGTCTAAGCGGGCGATATGCAGGAGGTGCAGTAGTGCCAGTCAAGTGGTCGTTGAACTTGTTGGTGGTGGTGATTAAGTTGATGTTGATATCGATATTAGTAGTGGTGGTGGTGATATCGATGATGATGATGTTGATGGTAAAGGTGAGACTGGCCGGCACTGAGGGTACTTATAGCACATAGTATTCCCCGGGCAATGGCATGGATTGTGAGGAAGTTCGGGATAGATGAAGGGAGAACGAGGCAAACAAACAGAAAACAAGGCGGCCACGGGTTACTTTTGTTCGGTTTTGGTCTGACTGCGGTTCATGATCCTAGGCTTCCCGAATCCGCGGTTATTGTTTTTTGTGAAGTGTGGTTCCGCGGTGGCCTGTTGTGCTGTGGTGTGACTCGGTATCTCTTCTGTATGAATGTACTTTTCTGGAAACAGACAACGGCAAGGTACTTGGACTGGGTGTGGTGAATGACGGAAACTGTTTTGAAAAAAGGCGTGGCTGAACGGGTGACATGAAGCAGAAAAAAGAAAGAAAAAAAACACCACGGTCCGGGGAAAAAGCTTTATCTTGATAGGGGGGACCGAGGGAGTCAGGGAAGTCGTGTGTGTACACACAGCACAACGGAACATGGGGACAACATGGGACAGCATGGGGGATGATGGGAGACGACATGGGGCCACGCACAAAGCTGTGTGTAACAGTAACAACAGTGTATAGCAGTTTTGATAAGTTTTTTTTTTTTTTCTCTCTTGACTGTCTGTGTTACCCCGACTACCGAAGAGCCAGGCATGGAAAGGGAAGAAAAAAGAAAAAAAAGATACATGGTGCTGGGCATGGGGGATACCGCTGGACCTGGACGGGGGTACTTGTCGGGACTCTGTGTCAAAGTACCTTCCTTCCTTCCCTCTTCCAACGGGCAGTGAAATTGGCAATTTCCCGGCCTTTTTCGTTGATTGGAAAGAGCTGCTAAGCTTGGTAATCTTATCGGCAAGCGCAGGTGTCCGAGTCAAACAGGACTCCCGCCCGCAGAGCCGTCGACGATCCCACAACATAGCCCTCTATCCTTTAGTGGTAAACACGCCGTAACATTCTCCAATAATACCCCACGTGCTGCTGCAGAGGCTGCTCGCGGGCAGGGTTCCGGGGGGGAACTGGCTAATTGCCCAGCAGCACAGAGCAACAACGCTCCCGTCGGATTTACGGTGGACTCCTCCCTCCAGAAACCTTCTGGAAAAACACGGGAGAACCATCCCAAATTTCCATTCCACTTTTAGCGAGCCCTTTAGCGCAAGTCGGGCCTAGTGTCGGTGTGTCCCGTTCCCTTGTTAGTGGGTATCGCCCACCGCGGCGCACTATGTAACAGGGAACTCCGCTACCAGCGGTTTCTGCGATTGGTAGCAATATCTGTTAGTGCAAGACCACAAGTCCACTTCCTTTGGCCTACAAACCTCTATGGTACCCGTCCAACCCGGTACCTAACGCTCAGGGGTCGAGAGGATGACGATGTCAATACCTAGGTACTGCCCTGATGCCTTCAAAACAACCTGCCCAGCCCCCACTTTGCCTGCAAATTCTTGTTCGAAACAATCTTTTTGAACAAAAAGAAACCACAGCGGATCAAACGCAGAAAATCCCGTGCTGCCGACGGAACCTACAGTACACTACTGTAACCCCATGGCCGCATGCGAGGCGATGCCATGCCATGCCGATGCATCATGATGATGATGATCCACTCAGGACCGAGTCCAGTGTTTGTTTACTTTGGCACCAGACCACTCCAGACCAGACACCAAACCATCCTCAGCCCTACCCAAACCATCCCTCATAAAAATAAAAAAAGATGAAGCCAACATCTCTGCCGCGGATGAGAAAGCGGTGATTCTAAATAGGTAGGTGCTTCCAGGCCCTCTGTCTACTACTACTACCCCCCGTCTATGACCAGCCCGTCCAGGACCGTTCCCTTCCTATGTTCCCCATCCATGCTCATCCTGACCCCATCCTGACCCCATCCCCCGTCGAACCCGTCTTGCCCGTCCACCCCCGGCTGCCACCCTGTTCCCACCCTGGTCCTGCTCTGTTTCACGACCGGGAGCCGAGCTATGAAGGATCTGGACCCCCTTGTCCCGGCCGGGCGTCATAACGATCTTTTTACAACAATTTCTCATACGAAGCCCACTGTGGACTTGCACAAAAGCTGAGAACAAGACAGAACCAGCACAAGCCGGGCATCCCTTCACGGCTACGCGAACGCGGGCTTGTCGCGGGCGGGCATGGCGGCGGGCATGGCACGTTTGGGGTCATGGTCAAATCCGACAAGGTCATGATCATGGTCATGGTCATAGTCATGGGCATGGAAGTCGGCGTGGGCCTGTCTGGCCGGCTCTGGCTGGCTCCGGCTTGCTGGCTGGCTGCAACGGTGCATGTGCTATGCTTTTTTCCCGTCCGCCGTCAGTCCGTCTCTCATTCTAGCCTCTCTCTGCCAATGTCTGGCCTTGGCTTGCTATACTCAAAAGTGATAAAAACCCCAAAATCAAAACAATAGTATATCACCGTTGATACCACAACCGTGACACCGTTCGTGATCAACCAACGACCGGGTGCAGAGAGAACTCATCCATCACTGGTCACCCAGAGTTTCGGGTCCAGCAGACGCGGCATGGGTGATGCCAATGGAACTTGATCATGCCACCCTACTACGGTTGGGAACTTTGGGACGAGGCATGACGGCACAAGATACGGTGAAGAATACGACTCTATCACCGAAAACGAAAAGGCTTTGTCGGGCATCGGGATGACGATCACTCAGTCAGTCACAACAGGAGATGGCATGCTCGGGCGCACACTCATGCTCACACCACTTTCTTCACATGTTGACACTGCCATTCAGCAACAAGCGCAAGCGCCAGGCGCCGTGACTTTGAATCTTCGGTGTGTGTGTGTGTGTGGTCCAGTCCCATTTCCCCTTCCTCGTTGACACCCATTCACCCACCCACCCACTCACACCCACGGGTCCATCTATCCTATCCATCCACTTCCTTTCCCCTCCATCTAAGGTCATGTCCCCCGAATTCATCAGCAGCACGGGGTGATATAGTGCCTGCCCCATTGGTACCTATGTTTCTTGGTGCTACACCAGAAAGTGTGATCGATGCAACCCAACTCTCTCGGTTGAGTTTGCCGAACACGGGCGTAACACTGGAGAAGGAGGGAACAGAAAAAAAGAAGAAGACAGATTAACAGATCCAAGAAGGGCGAGACAGAAAAAAAACGGGATGAAGTTGCACCACACCAGACACGCCAGCCCGGAAGGCAACCCAAAAGATGCCGTAAAAGAGAGAGAACACCATACCAAGAATGATGCGGTAGGATAGCGCAGTACACTACACCAAACCCCTGCAACTATATTGGCTTCAGCGTGATGATGATACCTTTTGAGGTTGCCAGGCCTTTTAAAAAAACCCAGTGGCTCGGATACGCCTGTCCTGTTGGACCGTTAGTGTACCTTAGTGACCACCAACTTGGTTACTTATGCAACCAAGACAACCGCGGACTTCATCCATCGCTACGCTAGCCCCGAGAATTTTTGACAGCAGCAGAAACACACCTACGTCCAAGCAGGGGGCGGTGATCTTTAGAAAGAATCGCGAACGAGCATCAAAAGAAGAAAAGAAAGAAGAAAAACAACAAAAGAAGGCGGGCCATCTTCCGCTAGGGACTAGGATTGTTCTCCGCAAGTTGGAAGACGGACAGAAAGAAGCCCTATAATCCCCTGAAACCCCGGGGAAAGAACTATCAAGGAACAGCATCTTATCGCCGTTCAAGAAACCTTCCATATCTACACTACACTACGAAAACCCCAGCCAAAGACAGCCACGTCAAGCTAGTTCTAAAAAGCGACTAGAGAGTTTCCAAAGTTAGAACCCAATGCATGTCTCAGATACACCACCATGACCATCACCGTTCACCACACTGAAAAAGAAGCAATGAATGCTGAGACGGCTGGCTTGTCCTGAGACTAACTGGCGGGGGAGATACCTCTATCGTGATCGGTTCCAGCGCATCAAACACCCGAAAAGACCGTTAACCATTTAAGCCAGAGCAGCTGAAGCCAAGCTTTCAAGCACTGTCCCAACGCTGATTGAATGGTCAATGAATGCCATGTGAATGGATGTTGATAAGAACAGACACAGACACTAACAAACTTAGGAACCGAAAGAGCCACGAATGATTTAGTCTCGGACACATATCGTAAGTCGTATGTGCTCTTGCTTTCCACCTGAATAGCCAGCACCGACCAAACGGAGATTCCCGTAACTTCCTTGTCAAGCCACCACAAAGTGACAAAAGCAACAAAAAGCCACCTGAAAATTAACAACAACGCCATCTGTCAAGGAAGCAGCAAGCAACAAACCGCAATATCTGGTCGAAGAACGTCGGCACCACCGCTGGGCACCAGCCACCAGCCACCGTTCGGGATCATCCATCCAACATGTCCATATCCATGCCCAATGTTTTGCCCAACAGAATACTATTCTGACTGGTACCATTTTCGGTCGTTCGTTGCGGCTGAAACCACTACCATACTAGGTTATCTTCTTCTGATGGATGGAAAGCCACGTGTTTTAAAAGTTGTTCCTTCAAAAAGTTGAAGAGAATTCTTTCACTTCCACTTCTCGATTCGTCTCTTTTTGAGGCTTGCAAGGGCAACAGAACGGGATTCGTCGGTCTTCGAAACAAGGACTCGGAGACAGGGTAGCAAGGGTGCGGCGCAGGTACACTGCACTATGGAACTACTGTAGCAGATAGGTCCCTTGTCCCTACCTTACCATACCTTGCCTAGAGGTAACTACTCCCATGTCCATAACCA